GTTTTGATGTTAGACTTCCGCTGTTGCTTACGTTTATGATACCTGTTAGTACCTTACTTTACGTATATAAGCTTTAAATTGGCATGAAAATCGGGGGTGCTACATTATATGTCTTACTATTTATTGGTCACACCAACTCTTTCTTCTTTGTTTATTTCTTTAGTATCTTTTACTTTAAAAAAAAAAAAAATTGATTTTTTTTTTTTTTGTGTTTAATCGCACTTTTAGTGTAGTTTCTAAATATATAAATTTTATATACTAATACTAAACTTAATATTATGAAAATTTGAATTAAAAATAATTTCAGTCAAACCTCGTTAACTAAACCAGTCACATAAAATAGGACAGAAAGAGTATATTTTATTTGTTGGTGGATTTGCCTAGCTCTTCATAATTCATTCCAATTAATTATTAATTATTGTTCCTGTCATTGAAGACTCATGATTAGTCTTCACTATTAATTAATTATTAATGACATTGCTTAAGGCGATAATTGCTTTTAATCTCTCAACGATGATATTAAATTCATGTTCCTAGAATTTTATTCTTATGTTTCCTATCAAATCGTTGCTATTTGAGTTATTTTTCCTTAAAGTTCTTTGCATACTTTTGATTTAATTTTCTGCAATTGAAACTTCCTTTTTGAACTCTTTTAAATTATTCCTTTATGGTCCGTTTGGTTCACGGAATAGGCCAGAAATGACATAGCATTCCCAGTAATAGACCTATTCCTTTGTTTGGTAACCATTTCTATTACCTCAAATAAGGTAATAGCTATTACTAGGGTCCCCCTGGTATTAGCCTATTACTGAACGCTCAGGAATAGATTTTAAAATCTATTTTCTTTTTTACCCCTTTCTTTAACCTAATTTTTTTATCCTATATATAAATTTATCCTATTTCACCATCGTCGTCGCCACCACCACCATCACCGCCGCCGCCGCCACCACCACCATCGCCGCCGCCGCCACTACCACCATCGCCACAACCGTCGCTGCCCCCACTACCACCGCCGCCCCCGCCCCACCACCACCGCCGCCCCCGCCACTGCCACCGCCACCACCACCACTACCACCCCAGCACCACCACCGCCACCACCATCGCCGCCGCCGCCGCCACCACCACCACCATCGCCCCCAGAACCACCACCTAGCAGCACCACCGCCACAACCGTCGCCGCCCCCACCACCACTGCCACAACCGTCACCGTCACCACCACCACTACCACCCCAGCACCACCACCACCGCCACCACCACCATCACCACCACTGCCACCACCATCGCCACCACCACCGCCACCACCACCACCACCACCACCATCGCCACCATCATATATTTTTATAAGGGTATTTATGTCTTTTAAAACATATTCCATTTCTATTCCTTAAATCAACCAAACACTGTAATATAATTCCTAAAGTCTATTACTTCCGTGAACCAAACAATAGAATACAATTCATATTCTATTCTTTGCCTATTCCATTCCTTATGGAATAACATTCCTATTACCTCAAAATTCATTCCGTGAACCAAACGTGCTGTTAAATTATCAATATTTATAAATTGCATTGTATCAATTCTATGTGGGATCGATCCCTTGTTTTGCACGCTAAAATTATAATTGACTCGTGCGAGGACTATATTAAAATTGTCCATCAATTTTTGGCGACATTGTCAGGGAATTGTTTACTCTGCAATTTGATTTTTTTCTTTTATTGAAATAATTGTGTAATTTTTTAATTAATTTTTTTTTTTGGTTTTCCCTATTCCCTTTATTTTTTTCTCTCTTAATAATTGCTTGTTTTTTTTTCTTATTCCCTTTATTATTATTGCTATTTTTTTTTCTTTTTCAATTTAATTCTATCTTGCTTTAAAAATTAAAAACAAAAAAATTCTAATTTTTGAAAAAATGTATGAAGTTAATTCCAATATGGATTTGACTTTTTAAATGTTTGTGTTAGCAAAACAAATAAAAAAAAATATGTGTTCTATGTTAAGTATGCATAAAAATAATTCATTTAGAAATAATAATGGTTTTGGACAGGCTAATTCAATCAATGTTTTTAATCAAATGCCTGTGTATGACCTATGTTATAATTCTTATAATCCGGGTTGAAAAAGTCACCCTAATTTTTCTTGGGAAATAATCAAAATGATTTTCAACCAAGCCATCCTAATTTTTATTAGGATAATAATCAAAATGATTTTCAACCAATTGATCCACCCCAACCTGAAAAACCATCTTTGAAGGATTCTTTGAATGATTTTATACAGGCATGCATTAGACAGGAAGAAGCAAATGATCTATTTCAGATGCAACAAGAAGCTTATGAGCAACAATTTCAGATGCAACAAGAAGCAGATGAACAACAGTTCCAACAAAATGAGGCTTCCTTGAAAAAATCAGAAGTATAAGTGGGATAGATTGCTAAAGCTTTGCAAGGGCATATGCCAGGTAAGTTACCTAGTCAACATGAGGAAGCTAAGGCTATGAGAAGTGGTGAAATCATTGAAAATAATTGGAAAAAAGACACCACTTCTAAAATTGAAATGATTGAAAAATTAAATAATGATGCTAATGATTTTATTGTTGGAAAAGATGAGCCTAAGTTGCATAAATCTAAGGAGCCCTATACTACCCAAACCTTATGTGTCCCCGGTTCTATTTCTAAATATACTCAAAAGTTGTGTGCCTAAAACGGTAAGTGCAGTGCTACAAAAAGAATTGCCCCAATCCCAATTGATGTTCAAGCAAACAAATTGACCAAAAATGTGCTTGATGAAACTGCTGAGTTTTCAATTTTTACATCTATGAATTTGCTTGATAGATCTAACCAATTTTTTGCAGTTAAGGGTTGAATTTTGCAAAGGATGGTAAGTTGGGGTTTGATAAAATTCAAAAAGAAAATATTTTGAATGACATTGATCATAAATTAGTTTCTTCTCGCCATTTAAAAAATGCTGTGCAAATTGAGAATTCCTTGAAAGGGGAATCTAACAGGGGAGGACTTTCTTTATCCTCTTTTCTTTCATCTCACAACATTGGGGACAATGTTAAAAATAAGTGCGGGGAAGAGATTTTACCTACAAATCATAAAATATTAAAAAATTTAAAAATTTTTAATTTTCTTATTATGTACATTTTCATAAATCTTTTTGTTTTAAAATTTTAACATTAGCTTGGGCTTTACCCTTGTTGATATTTTGAATAGCTTATGTTGAAAATAATACAATTTTTGTCAGTTCTTAGTGTGTATATTGCATGTGGCTAGTTGTTAATTTCTTTATTTTTATATTTTAAATAACTTTGTCAATTTTTTTAAAATAAAAAAAAAGAAAAGAAAAACATAATTAGAATTTGAAAATCACAAAAATCCTTATATGTTTTATGCATTTTCTTTGACGATTTAAACATTGGTTTCACTTTATTATACAGTGCAATAAATTGTGATGTAGTGTATTGATTCACGGATCCTCTCTGTGGCATAAGTGAGATGAAAAATTTAAGAAAAAAAATATATTAAAAAAGAATAAAAATGAGTGTTTATTTATTTATTTTATTTGCAATAAATTCAAAAATTATACTCCGCTGAATCAACCACTTAATACCATAAATAAATAAATAAGTGTTCTAGTCTAGTTTATGAGTACACATAAAATTGAAAACTCAAACATGCCTGGCGTAAAATGACGAGGTTTCTGTGAGAAGTTCTCTTTGAAAAAAGTCAAATAGAAAAAATAATGAGTAAACTCTAAAAGAGACGAGCATTTGAAATTTGTTTTTAATAAATGCCTCCGATTCTTATTTCCTTAATGTTTTGCACTTGCATTGTGGACCCTGGTCCACGATATAACGATTGCAATCCCACAGCACGTGGGTCTGTACCCGTCAAAATTGCGTTTTGGTCTACCAATTTTTTTCTTTCCTTCTCCCTCTACCAATTTTTTTCTTTCCTTCTCCCTCTCTCCTCCAATTCCTCATGTCCTTCTTCCATGTATGCAAAAAAAAAAAAAAAAAAAAAATTACAAAGTACAGACTAAAAAGTGTACATTGTATGAGTTTTAACAATTTAAAATGACAAAAATATTAATTTAGATGTTATATTTTGCCCCCTTTTGCAAATTCTATCCTTCTTTTCTTTTTGTCTATTTTGAATAAATTCATTCAAAATTGACCCGATAGCCACGCGGCACATTCGATTCGGACAGTCGGACATGCCGCCAATGGTCAGTGCAGGTTTTAATTTGAGCAATTTGGATGGATGGCTCAACTAAATTAAAAATTTGAAAAAAAAAACAAAGGAAAATGACAAGTTTATTCTTGAAAGGTAAAGTCTGTTATTTTTTTAGATAGAACAAAAAAATGAAGAGAAAAGAATAAAAGTAATAGCTTCTTTTCTAAATCAATTATAGTGCATGAGCAAAGAGTAAGAAATGTAGTAAAGTGTAGGAGTAAATGTAGTCTTATTTGTATAATTCGAATATGAGATGAAATATGGTTATTATTTCAAAAAAAAATAATAAAAAATGAAACATGGTTAAAATAATTTAAAGTTGGGAAAAAGTAGGGGGGACCTCACCTGAGAAAGATGCTTATTGGTGAGCGGTGAGTATAGTAAGATTGATTTTTCTTTTTTTTTTCCTAAACTGTGAAAAGAAATAGAATATATAGTGTTTTTACAGAAGTGGTGATATGAAAGAGAGGCAGAGGGGACCCTTTAGGCTTAGCTGTTCATCACTAAATAATCAAAACAGAGAACCCTAGCCTGTGCCTCACGCACCCTTTGGCCATTGCTCTCACTGTGCTCCGTCCACAATAATTCCCATGTCCCATTTTACCCTTTTGCCTCTCCAAATATTCATTTCATTTTTGGTTGGCATCCAGTCCAGTGAGAGAGATTGGCTGAAACTAATAATTATGCCCCATTTTACCCTGCTCTGCCCCAGAAGGCAGCTTCAAGCTTTTCCCGGTCATGAATAGCTCTTTATACATGCGCACATATAAATACGGTTCCATCTTATATTTAGCCCAAAATCAAATATCAAATATCAAATAATAATAATAATAACAATAACACTAATGAATTTTTATAAAGAATAAAAAAAAAATATTTCTAAGAAAATAAAGGAATTAAAAAAAAAAAAAAAAACTCTTGCTCCTGGAATCGGGGTAGGGGGCACTTCAATTCATACCGTACATCTCGTCACCCTTGCTGCTGCCGGCGGCGGCGGCGATTAGGAGCTTTCATTTGATTTGATTTGATTTGTGGTAGTATGTAGGATTGAGGGGCGGGGAGGAGAGGGGATTTTACATGAATTGGATTAGTGAGTCGTCAGTCCAATGCATTTGGACCGGCACAGGCCTTGAGGATAGGGCTCCAAACCCATTGCACCAAGAACTTCCTGCCCCTCCTCCCCTTCATATTGTAAGTCCGCCCCTCCCTGTCCTTCATCACCTGCCCAATGTACCCGCCGCCGCCCCCTGTGCCGTACAGCCCCTCGCACAGATCACCGATTTCTGTGGGTGCCGTTGGGTCTTCTCCTGCGTACCATGCGTTCACCAGCGGGTTCGATGACAGCTCCGCTAGCTCGTGCGCTATCACGCTAATCATCCCGTCTACACCCACGTCCCCGTTGGGCGGAGACAGTGCTCCCGGTCCGCCTCCTGCCATGTAACCCGGGATTGCAAACGGGTACGCGCATACTTCCGGGCACTGCTTCCCCGAGTTCCCGATCCAAGCGTAGGGCAGTGTGTAACCCACCTTGGAGGCGAAGGTGAAGTAATGGAAGCCGCACACAGCCCGACAGAAGTCCTGCACTGTCACATCTATGGAGGTGAGCACCAGGTAGATCCCTTTCTTGTGGTCGATGGAGAAGGGCTTAGAGCGTACGGCCTCTGCGATGACGTCCTGAATGGAGAGGCGGGTGAGGTGAGTGCCCTGGGAGTAGCGGCGGTCGGAGTACTCATCCGCAATGAGAACGGAGCGGGATATGTTGGCCCCGGTTTGGTCGGTGTAGAGAGACACAGTGCGCCACCATTCAGCGACGGAGGGGGAGGGGGCGGCGCGGTGGTTGGTGGTGGAGATGGAGAGTAGGAAGTCTTTGATGACGAGCTGCTGGGATGGGGACCACTTGCCATACCAGATAAGATAGATATTGATAGGGGAAGAAAGGACGGGGCCCATATGGTAGCGGAGATTGACGAGGTCGGATGAGCCCTCGAATTTCTTGGAGTTGGAAAGGGCTCTAGGAGGGAGCTTTGGGTTGAGGTACTGATAATCCGCCTGCGGATGCAGTTGGAGAGTTTGACCGCTACCGGCCGCCGGCGCCGGCGAAGCATTGACCGTAGCAATCAAGAAAAAGAAGAAGAAGGAGAGGAGCGGTGGCATGTTACTGCTAATCCCCGTCATAATGGTGGTTCGATCTGTATGGTAATAGCAACAAAAGAGCTTTTATCTATTCTATTTTATAATATAATAATAAGAGGTATTATTATTATTTATTATTTATTATTATTAAAATAAAATAAAGGGTAGTTGTTGGGGAAAGATATGAAGGGGTGGGTGAGTAAAAATGGAGAAGGAGGCGGAGGATATATAATGAAGGAGAAGAAGAAAGCAGTGCAGAGTGCAGAGGGAAATTGGCTGGCGCCAGCTGCCACTTTTGGTGGGGAACATACTGTCCCGTCTTATTATCACTGCCCCATCCCATCCCATCCCTTTCATGTTTCTGTTTAACTCTTTTGTTAAACAATAGTAGCTGAATCTTTTTCTTTTTCTGAAAATTTTTTAGGGTTTAGTAGTCTCTCCCTCTAGCGGGTGTTTAGTTGGGAGGATGACTGGATGAGTTAGGGATAAATGTATATATGAAGGGTTACGGTTTTCAATTTTTTTTTTTTTTAATTTGATCAGTTAATCAAAGTTTGCACACCCTTATTACTTATTAAACAATGAAATTGAATTTTTATTTTTTTCTTACTTTATTCTTTTCACGAAATTACAATTTTTTTTTTCATAATTCTTTCCGCACGCCAATGTTAGATACTTTTCATATAATTCAAATTTAAATTTAAAATAAAATATATTGGTGATCAACTCAACGTCCACGTGCTCACGCCACTCGAGTTGAATGCATATATACAAAGCAGTAAACTTAGTTCTTTAGTATAGATTTACGTACTAACCCACTTTAATCCAGCCCAGCCCCACTCTTTGAATTTGATGATGCTTTAGATTTGCGCAAGTCACGGACTTGCAGCATAAACGAGATCAATAGTAAAATACTTTTTCTTAATTTTCACTATGATAATAATGTCAACAAACACGACGACCAACTTCACAATTCACAAAAGTCTCACTATCATCAATACAAATTATTGTTATTGTAATGGCAGCCAGGCCAGCGGTGTGACACAACCATTTTCCTGGGGCCAGCAAAGCTAGCTGGATGTTCTAGCTTAGATCCAATATAGGTAGGTAGCTATCTAGCTTCAATTCCCAACAGATGGATGGCCGGATTACGCATTGCATATACTGTTTGTCATGTACATGAAGATGAATTGCAGTGGGCACCCGCACCTTTACTTTACTTTCTTGTCCATCACAAATCATAAATCATAATACTAGCTTAGCTTGCCCCCCTGGCCCCTGGGCCCTGGCCTTATCATTCCTATCCCCCCATACACATCCAAATTAAAGCACCACCAGCGGTGGTCAGTGCTCCATCCACTTCCAGTTTTACTACCAATTCAATGCAAAACCAACTAACAAATAATACTACATTTCAAATATCTAATTTTAACTTATACTTAACTATACCTCAGCTCTTTCCTTGTAGGGAACTTAGAGCATCCAAATTTAAAAATCGAAGGTGAGTTAAAGTATCTGTAAGTTAAGATTTATGTACATAATATACGGTACGTGTTAAACGATTAATATGACCTCATCTCTATCATATCATTAATATTTCCTAAATAAATATTACATACATGCTCATATTGAGATTTGAAGACTACCCACTACCACTTTACTATATATTAATCTTGTCATTTAATTGCAAAGTATGCTTCCATTATAAAATAAGATTTATAGAAAATTTTATTTCTATTAATAAGTTTCGTAAGAAAAAGAATATATTGATACAAAAATTATTTGCTTTATGTTGATAAAAATTAAGAGTGAAGATTAAATTTTCATATTTAAATTTATTCAGATTTTTTTTAACAATTAAAATTTTTAAATTTTATGTTAAAATACATGTGACTGAATTTATTCAAATAAAATAAATTAAATTTGCAAATCAATACATAAATAAAATTTTATTAATGTTAACATTTTTTTTTAATAAACTAATGAGTAATATGCATTTTAATACAAAATATAAAAATGTCAGTTGTTAAAATATTATAAACTAATAAATTAAAATTTTACTCATTATTATTAACTTTTATTAATATAAATTTATAAATTTTTACATATCAATTTATTTCAAATTTTATGAGACTTATACTACCTTTCAAATATCTAATTTTAACTTATACTTAAGTATACCTCAGCTCTTTCCTTGTAACTTACAGTATCCAAATTTAAAAATCGTAGGTGAGTTAAAGGATCTGTAAGTTAAGATTCATGTACGTACATGTTAAACGATTAAAAAAATCACTGACTTTAATGTTATTAATAAAAAATATGTATGTCATTTTATTACTCTTATTAAATTAAATAAATTAATAGCTACAATAAAAAGTAATACATATGCATTTAATTAATTTAGAATTAGATGTCTATAATATCATTATTAAAAAAAAAAATTATTCATTATAAAAAATTTAAAAAGAGATATAATTTTATTAGTTATATTATATTTATTTTCTAGAACCTTCAAAAAAATATTTATTTTCTACAATTCAAAGATTCCATACCTTCAATTCAAATCCATTAATTAATTATATTCACTACATTGCCCATTGTTTTCTTTTTTTTCTTTTTTTTTTTTTACATTATCTTGTAATTAAATATCAAAGTTATAATACAAAATATGTTATATATTTATTTACTAAGTATTTTATAAAAATATAATAAATATTAATATTTTGTTCAATACTTTCACATGATAATCTATGATACACATGAAACATGTAGGGAAAAACTACCACTACCAAATATCAATATACACTTGTAAGATAAAGAGTTGAAAGTACAACTAAGATCTCAGTCATATACACAGCAAGAAAAATCTAAAACTTCCAACACCATAATCTCATTGTATGATGATGCCCTCTATGCTACCACCAGTAACCCAATTGCAAATGACATACTACCAATAAAGAAAGAGAGGACATGACATGTACTGAAGATGAAGACAATGATAATGATACCCAAAAGAGAATTAAGAAGACAAAGAGAAATTTAAACAAAAGTAATATTTATTTAGACTATCGCTTTTAGACTAAGTATTTAGACTAGCGTTATTACAAAGTTGTAAACGTTTATTTTAGTGACAATTATAATCATTCTCTCATATATTGGCTATGTTTGGCAAACCTAGCTGAAAAGGTAGCTGGAAGTTTAAAATGAGCTGAAAGCTGAAAACCTATAAGCTAGGAGTTGAAAACTGAAGAGCTGTTATGCTTGAAAGTGTTTGGTAAAATTAGTTTTTTAATAAGCTGATAAATGTAAAACGACAAAAAGGACATCTCCATAAAATTTAAATTAGTTTGTTTACATATTAAAATTTAACATTTTGTCTTAAAAAAATGTAACATTTTGAAATAAAATTATTAGCATAATCATCATCTAGCATTCAATAATGAAGTAGCAATATTGTTGTGAATTTTCCTTCATCTCATAATAATAATAATAATAATAATAATAATAATAATAATAATAATAATAATAATAATAATAATAATAATAATAATAATAATAATAATAATAATTACGGTGAAAGTTGCGGATAAAGGAGAAGAGAAAATAATTTTAATTAGGAAAGGTAGAGGATGCCATTTCTTTAAAATACGCGATTTCAAAAAAACATTTGTCCAAAACGGACAACCGAGTCAAAAGTTATGCCTTGCTGAACTTTTGACACTTTACAACTTAAAAAAAAAATAAATAAATAAAATTAATCGCCGGTTCAGCCGGCGAGGCGGCCGATTCCGGCCTTCCTCGCCGCGGCCAGTGACGCGATTTTTGCAACACTAATATATAGAATAGATATAGATTAGAATAGGAATAGTATTACACAATTTTATAATATTATAATAGAATTTTAACCCAGAGTTATTATAGAAATCAATATATTTTATTAGGAAGAGAGATTTTTTAGGAATTGGGCGGGAAGTTAAAAGTTCAAGATTTTGTTTTTATATATAGTATAGAGTATATATAGATTACAATAGGAATTGTATTACACTATTTATAATATTAGAATAGAATTTTAACCCAGAATGATTGTATGTATGGGAAAGTAGAAATCAATATATTTTATTAGGAAGAGAGATTTTTTTGAAATTGGGCGGGAAGTTAAAAGTTTAGGATTTTGTTTTTATATATTGTATAGATATCAATACATATATATATATATATATATATATATATATATATATATATATATATATATATATACATACATACATACCACACCTTATTCTTAAAATAAAACCTAGACAAAACTTACACATTCTCTTCCATCTCTACCTTAGTTTCACGCCGTATATATATATATACATACATACCACACCTTATTCTTAAAATAAAACCTAGACAAAACTTACACATTCTCTTCCATCTCTACCTTAGTTTCACGCCGTTTCCTTCATCTCTTCACACCACAAACATCTTTCATTTCCTACTCAAGAAAACAAGCCAATATTCCACCTTTCTATCTTACAAAGCTTAGGAGTGAAAGATCAAGCCTTTCTACATCTTTTATATTCAAGATCTCTTTACTTTCTCTTAATATTTATTCTTTTATTATGTTAGTTTTGGGGTTTTAAAGAAGATCAAGTGGTTGGGGACATGCTAGGATGAGCTTGGTGTGATTTTCTAGCCAAGAAGCTAACCCTATGTAACACCCCTAGATTTTTAAAATATTTAAACCTTATAAAATAAAGGCAAATCTAATATCAAATCCCAAACAGAGCATAAACGAAACATAATAGTCGGTGTGCTATGCCACATCTAGGTTTGAGAACCTAGATGCACATGCTAAGCTAATCAAACAAGGTGTAAACTATAACTAATATCCATAATACAATTCAAGGCTCATAGGTCATCTAACTAATACTAAGCTAAATTCACGAGTCCATCTAACGCGCTCTGAAGCTACTGATCTATACCTGAAAAAACATACGGTGTAATAACCGTCAGCGAATAATGCTGGTAACCCACTCCAACGCGTTAAGTACAATATAGGTAGATATAAGAAATCATTTTGAAACTAGAATACATATATACTTACGAGACTCTAATTTAAACCCAAGATCAGGACTCAAGACACAACAACAGACTCGACATTATAGAACAATCATAAAGACTAGCATGCGTCCTAAGAACACGTTACAAGACATAATAGACAGATAAACATATAAATAGCAAATAGAGACAACAAAGGAATTCAAGACAATCATTTAGCAA